TATATATATAATTATATATATACATATGTAAGATGTGGTCCAAAACACAAAACCGACAACATCTATTCTGGGTCCGACATCTTTATTTAGGCGCAAAAGAAGAACTTATTACCACAGCAAACAGGAATCACATTGTAGTGTGCTGACTCGAGCGAATGACAGCATTACAACCAGTTGCTATATCAATTTCACATGTACTATACTCAATACATGTCAGTTTGTCTGTTTGGAATACCGGTGCCTGTCATGAATAGCTAACTTAAGAATATATCCCATTTACATCCACATATAGTTCCACAACACAACCCGCACGAGCAGACGACATGTATTGAGTATAGTCCATGTGAAATTGATATAGCAACTGGTTGTAATGCTGTCATTCGCTCGAGTCCGCACACTACAATGTGATTCCTGTTTGCTGTGTTAATAGGTTCTTCTTTTGCTCCTAAATAAAGATGTCGGACCCAGAATAGATGTTGTCGGCTTTGTGTTTTGGACCACATCTTACATGGTGTCAGAAGTGGGATAGACATCGGTGCTACCCTCGACTACTAGCTAGCTACCTAGGACTTGGAGCTGTGTTATCTCAGAAACAGGAGCAAGGAAAGGTCATCCTAAGTTATGCCAGAAGATCGCTACGGCCAAATGAGAAGAACATGGAGAACTATAGCAGCATGAAGCTGGAGCTGCTAGCCCTCAAGTGGGCAGTAACTGAGAAGTTCAGAGACTTGTTGTTGGGGACAGAGTGCTCGGTTTACACTGACTGTGATCCGCAAAGCTATGTGCAAACAACGGCAAAGCTGGGAGCTACAGAGATGATGTGGGTGGGTGAGTTGGCATAGTTCAACCTCACCATTCGCCACAGGTCGGGCAAACAGAACAAAAATGCTGATTCTCTGAGTAGGAAAACATGGCACGGAGAAGAAGCAGCACGTCTGGAAGAAGCCAGTGTTCAGACAACAATTCCCTTCCGTGACTCTACACAGTTGCCGGGAGATTTGAGATCCACAATCCAGGTGCCTATCCGTGTATGGGAAGAGGAGCTGCACACAACAATCAGAAGACAAATTCCTCTCCTTGTAACCTCCATGCCCATGCTGTCAGCTGAAAATTTGTCCAAACTTCAACGAGAGGATCGCTGCATTAGCCAGTTCAGGACCTACTGGGATAGGAACGTTAAACCGTCCAAGCGGCAGGCAAATAGAGAACACCCTGGTACAAGGAAGTTATTCGCCCACTGGAAGCAGATTTTAGAAGAAGATGATGTACTTTACCGTCAAATTGTTCAGGATGGAACTGTGGTTAAGCAGATGTTATTGCCTGAAACTTAAAGACAAGGTTCTGAAAGCAGTACACGATGATCATGGACATCAATGTAATGAGAGAACGTACTCTCTTTTGCACAGTCGATGTATGTGGCCATACATGGCAAAAGACGTAAAGGAGTATTGCGTGAAGTGTCCCAGATGTTTTGGGAAAACATGAAGAACATGTGAGACCGACAATTGGATCGATCATTGCAAAGAGACCGTTAGAAATACTAGCTATAGATTTCACTCTTCTCGAGCCGGCCACCAACAACATTGAGAATGTGCTAGTGATGACTGACGTGTATACAAAATTCACACAGGCCATACCACTAAAAGATCAGACTGCCAAAAAAGTTGCGCGAACTATGGTAAAGGAATGGTTTGTTCACTATGGAGTACCTCTAAAAATACACAGCGACCAAGGACGCAATTTCGAAAGTAGTCTAATCCATGAGTTGTGCAATATCTACGGAATCTTGAAGACCAAAACCACGCCGTATCACCCACAAGGGAATGGCAACTGTGAACACTTCAACAGGGCCCTTCACAATTTGTTGCGTACTCTCCCTCCGGAGAAAAAGAAAAAGTGGCCGGACATGCTTCCAGAACTTGTGTGTGCTTACAACTCTACCCCTCACGCAACCACAAGGTATTCCCTACATTACATGTTCTTCTGACGAGAACCAAAGTTACTGATAGATATGTTGTTAGGCGACACTGATAAAGTGCCACAGGAGGAGTGAACAGCGGAGCATGGCAGAAAACTGCAGGATGTCTACAGATTGGTTTCGGAGAGGACAGAGAGGAAGGCTCTCAAACAAAGGGATCGGTCAAATCGGAATGCCACCGACAAAGATCTTGCAGTGGTTGGACGTGTATTTATCAGGAATCACCCTTTGGGCAGAAACAAGATAGGAGACGTTTGGGGGTCCAAACCGTATAGAGTGGCAGAAGGAAATGACTTTAACGAGTATGTTATTGAACCACTCGACGGGGACGGGCCAAGCAGGACAGTACACAGGAAGGAATTGCTCGACGCAAAGACACTTGTGGTTGACATCCACGGAGGACTTAAACAAAGATGCAGGGTGCCAAGGAGGCGGCGGGTGAGGTAGTGTGATGGAGAGGAGAGTGATGGCGATCTGGAGGAGTACTTGTATCCACTAGAGGAGGATATCCTGGATGTTCAGGGGGAGGCGGTACAGCCTAGCTGTGAGATAGTAGGCGGTGCGGGCACTGCAGGGCCCGAGGAGAGTGCCTCGGGGGTGCAGGGGTTGTGCACCAAAGATGCAAGTCACGATTCTTCCGATCGGGTCAAAGAAGTTGACAGTACTACTTCATTCGAAGCAGGGGAGCCCGGTTTGGACCAGACCAGACGGGATCAAATAGAAGAAGAAATGGACAGTGTTACTTCATCCGATGATGGGGAGCTGGATAACACACCACTACGTAGAACACGTAGGGTGACAGCTGGGATGCACTCAAACCCTCACAAATTACCCAGACCGGTCGTACAACAGGATATGTCATGTGTCTCGCCAACTCTGGTCAGTGCATCCGTAATAGAAAATATCAGCAAAACTCAATTATTGTTGGTAGAACTGCTGTGTAAGACTGTGAAGGAATGATTGGACTGAAACGGGTTGGTTTAAAAATACACACAAGGTGCCTGCTTTATAATCAAAATGTTGCGTTGATCGACTGAGACGTGGACAGTCGGTATGTTCTTTGAGACGGATGTCAGTTGCGTTCGATTACTCTAAATGGTGCACAATGTTTTAGTGCGGTCACCAGTTTCAGTTTTTGTGTCTGACAAGCCAATAATAGCGTGTTTTATAGCAAAGAGTTGTCAGAGACGCCAACTCCAAGCAGGGGAGTATAAAGTAGTATCACAGACGTCCACTTCAATCCACGTATTATTGTTTACTTAACATTAAGGAAATAGCCGATCGGTACCGGAAGTACCAGAGTGGATACCAGTTGTGTATTATGTTTGCTAGAACAGTATTATTTTCTAGTTTGGAAGTCAGAATATTATTATATTAGTATTATTTGTATTCACTGTTTTTGTGAGCTTGTATATACGTTATTGACGTTTTTAATGCCTGCATATATGTTTTGGGTAAAATACTGGACGAACTTGCGGCCCCGGTTTTTGCTTCGCCGCGCCCTAACGCGAATACGCCGCCCCCTTTTTGTCCTCTTAGAGAGATATCTGAGACAGGGGTCTGAAAACGCACTCCGCGAAAACTGGGCGCAATCCAACCGACATTTCGGGATGGACGGCTTGAGGCCATCTCCCTCCTAACCCTAAACTTTTTTTGGGGTGGCGCGCCTCATGGCTAAGACGTAGTGGCTCCTACAAGAAATGCTGTCAAATAAAGCAATGACAGGCGCCTCGCATCATTGGCCCGCTACGCGAATGACAGGGACGCTTCTGCCAGAGATATAGCGTTACGTCATATCACAGAGGTTTTAAACGAAGACGTGTACGGCGCCTCCGTATCACGTGGCTGGCGCGGTCTAGATGCTATTATCTCCAAAACGCGCTGGCTCCGTACGTGCGAAAAGGTTTTTATCAAGCCTCATTGACCCGGCGCGACTGCCGTGCGAACGGCAGTCGTCGCAGGCACGTGCTGGACGTGGCCGTGAGCACGTTTTTTACATGTAGGCTAATCCTACAATACGCCGCGACAAACTGACACACAAATTATAATATTGCACAATGTTTTTGAATATAGAGCCGGGGAAGCGCGACTTCCCAGGCCTCCCTGCCTACCCCCGCGCATCCACGGGTGGCGGCCGGGCACGGTACGAAAATGCTATATCCAAAAAACCTAGGCATCGGGAAGTTTTTTTGCGCGCGCGGTGACTTTCGTAAGTAAATAACGTATTTTGTATTTTATTTACCATTACATTTTATTGACAACGCTTGCATAAGTGCAATGCTTGTGGTGCCAGAGCTGTAAAAAAAAAAAAAAGCAGAAGCCATATGTGCCATGTAGATGATAGTGTATTGTATTAACCCCGATGGCGGCGGAGCGAGCGAGAGAGAGAGAAGGAGAGAGAGAGAGAGAACAGACGCGTGGGGAGAGAGAGAAAAAAGAAAGTCAAGTGGAGAAAGCGCCAGATAAGGTAGCGAACTAACGGCAGGTGACGGTACGGACGGGGCGAGATAGGTACAACGGCGTGTCAATCTATAATCGGAAAAGAGCACCTCCAAAGCCGATGTCGGCCTGTAGGCCGATGACGTTCTCCCCGAAACACATGCGGTCAGATGGAAGTTGAGGAGCCACGATAGTCTACGAAGACAATGTCAGCACCCAATTCGAGACTAGCCGCTGCTATTAACAAACAACAATACTCGCGATACATATGCAAGCACGTCGAAATTTCCAACTGAGTCAGTCTGAGGACAGAAAAGCGATTAGCTTCGAAATCAATTAGGCCACCACCTCGTGTCCTATTATTCATGCCGAAGTGCAGCGGAGAGTTGGTGTCAAGATAGAAAATATGGCTCGCCTCGCGCTGGGCTCAACATATCCTTCGGCGTCGACCAGAACTGTGTGAAGCGGAGTGAAGCTTAATATAGGCTGTACCTATGGTCTGCCCTGCGGGTGGCTGATGCGCAGTGTGAATTCACAGATCGCATTCTGCGGAAAGTAGCGCGCGAGCCTATATACATCTGTGAAAATTAGGCGACGTCCCGCATGGTTATGGGAATCATGAAACCAAAACCAACACTTAGCGGCAGTCTACTTTGGTCGCGAACAGAAGCCGAGCAGCAAAAATTCGTTGGTAACGCGATACACCAGATGCCTCAATGTGGGCGTCACCGGCCAGCAGGTCACCTTTTTCGCGAACGACCATCTTGAGGTAAACTGTGAAGAATCATTAGCCCATGTCCTCTGTAGTATGACTCGAGCACATTTGATTATCAAATATCTCGGCGATAAGCCATATAGACAAGAGCGCGCGGTGCCAATCTATGGTTTGGGAGGTGCTTACTGCCGGCCGTATCATGCGATTGACCTGGAAATAGTGCACTTCTGCCTGACAAAACGCAGCGCCAAAACTCTCTGGTGACCATCCAAAGGCTAGTGTGGCAAAGAAAAAGGGCAAAGTTCCGAGAGAGCGTTTGTAAGGCTGGAAGTATCGCCCACGCCAGAGATAAAAGTCGGGGGCGTTTTTGATGTTGTCGGCTTTGTGTTTTGGACTACATCTTACACATAGATATGGTATGTATGCATAGATCATTCCCAATAACATCTCGATCAAAATATAGTAGTCACGTTCGTTATCACAGGTAGCAGCCAAACAATATCATTATCCACAGCTACACCCACACTGTTCTAATACATCCAGAGTCCCTAGCTATCCACGGCAACCCATACTGTTCTAAATTCCATCAGAGTCCCTAGCCATCCACAGCTACACCCACACTGTTCTAATACATCCACAGTCCCTAGCTATCCACAGCTACCCATGCTGTTCTAATCCACCCACAGTCCCTAGCTATCCACAGCTCTCCATGCTGTTCTAATCCATCCACAGTCCCTAGCTATCCACAGCTATCCATGCTGTTCTATTCCACCCACAGTCCCTAGCTATCCACGGCTACCCATACTGTTCTAATCCACCCACAGTCCCTAGCTATCCACAGCTACCCATGCTGTTCTAATACATCTACAGTCAATATGAATTTACAGCAATGGACGGTATTTAGTTATGATCTACAGCTACCCATCCAGAAACAGTTTAGATTGAACACTTCAAATACAACAACAAAAACTATGAAAATAGAACTAGCGTCTCAATAAACTGTACACTATATACAATGCACATTGCACTTTAAACTTTTTTCTATCCCGGCTGTCACCCGTTCATAATACAAACTACTGAACCATCAAAACACAACTTAATTTTTCCCACTGGTGTCTCGGCAGCTACGAGTAGGCCGTTTATTTACCCCCGCTGTGCTTTGTAAGGAGTATAGGAGGCACAGAGATCACTGTCAAATGTCGACCTACTTAGGATGCACTGACATGCTGCCACTACGCCAGCGCCTCCTGGTGGCATGTGGTCAGATGGCTTCACCAATTCGCAAGATGTGTGTTCACAGGACGCTGAGTTTCTGGCGCTTCCTGGTGGCTTCGCTGAGTTCGCGGACGGTATAATCTAAGGAGGTGAGCACTCGCATAGGGGCGAGCTGCTGGCGCCTCCTGGTGGTGTCGCCTCCTCACATAACCAGTGGCACCTGCCCGTGGCGTCGCATCATGTGGCGCTAAGCAGCCGGCGCCTCCTGGCAGCATCGACTCACGTGGCGCTGAGCTGGTGGCGCCTCCTCGTGGCATCGACAAGCGTGCGGACGGCGTCGTCGACGAGGGACGCCATGACAGCGTCGCAGAGCTGCGTCTTCACCGTCAGCTCGTCGTCGTCATAGTTCAGCCACTCGGCCTCCTCCCCGCGCAGCTCGCGCACGAGGATCGCGTCGACAAAGTCGCGCTTCCGCGAGCCCCACTTGCCCGCCGGCTCGCCACGAGGGGGCGCCGCCGCTGCCGTCGTCGTCGCGGGCGCGCGCAGCAGCTTTGCGAGCTCGCCCCTGGTCGCAGCGTCGCCGTCGCCGTTCCCGCGCGCCGCTGCCGCCGACGCGCGCGGCTTCATCCACGGCTCGCCAGGGGGCGCCACAGCGCACGCGTCGGCGGCGACCTCGCGTACGAGCGCGAAGAGGAAGCTCTTGTAGGCGCGGCGGCTGCGGCTGACGAGGTCAAAGCCCGCCTCGTCGTCTGTCACGTAGCCGGCTGGCATCGGCGCCGCGGCAACGGTCGGCGAGGCGTCGCGTGTCGCCGCCAGAGCCGCCTCGACCAGCGGCGCCACCTCGGTCCACTTGCGCGGCACGGCGTAGTACGGCTCGTGGCTGCGACGCAGCTCCAGCCGCGCGGTCTGGTAGTCGGGCGGCGGTGCCGTCGCCTGCGGCATGCCCGGCGGCGTGTAGGGCGGCGGCGGCTTCTGCGGGATCGCCTGACGCCGGAACGTTCCGTCGATGAGCGCAAAGTCATCGTCCAGCCAATCGCTGTCCAGCAGCACCTCTCCCCCGGCGCCGCTGCCGCCGCCGAACGCGTCCTGGTTGGTCTGCAGAGACGACAGCTTTTCGGATAGCTCCTCCTGGTGCAGGAAAAGGACGAGGAACGGCGTCTTAAGTTTTGTATTTGATTTAACCGAAGCGTTTAATATTCTAATGTAGACGATCAATGATAGATTGAGAGATATCGAATAATTGATTAAATGTCAATTCTGATGATTATGTGCAAAGCCATGCAAGTCAAATGTCAAAGAGCAATAATCAATACTCTTGTCATTCGTTTTCATATATGAACGCAACCTATGAACCGAGTTCCGAATCAATTTAAGATTGAGATTTTAGAACTGAATATGTTCAAACACCAGGGTTACTAGGGGCTAAGGGTATATACACCCACACATATATATATATATAATATAATCGATAGAGATAAACAGAGCTAGTACTTATACCTTAGTTCACGTACACTAACAGCACAAGTAGGATGTACTACTAGTACCTTAGTTCACGTACACTAACAGCACAACTGAGGGCTACCACTAGTACCTTAGTGAAGCTCCTGTACTCCCCAAACACGGGTGAGACGGGGCGTGGCACGGGGGAGGAGGGACTGCCGGGGCTTCCCTCGGAAAGGCCGCTCGTGAGTCTGTGCACCTCCTCATCATGTCCCTCGGCGGCCTGCGCCTCCTGCAATTAGTTAACGAATCGTTAGTGATTGGGAATGCAAACCGCAGCAATATAGCGCAAGCAGGGCTGTTAATCACAGGAGAGCTACATGGGCAAGCTTTGTGTTATATGTTGCGTTATATATTTTATAACGTGTTATATGTTATATATTGTGTTATATGTTATAAATTGTGTTATATGCACTAGCTATATTTTATACACCACTCACAAGTACGACTTTGGGCTGGTTTGTCCCGTGGCTTGTGTGTTTGTGTACACTTACTTATTGTAATAGATATGCTACTTACTAATACCACTTTGTGATTTTAGACAGGAAGCAAGGTTAATTCGACGATCATCTTGCAACTTCTCGTAGCCATAATTAAACGTGTGCTAGACAACGTGCCACGAACATTTTCATTCATGCTTCCCACAACAGTGGCAGCTATTGGCCATCAATATCATGATATGATATTATGTGAACCATGTAGTCATTAAATTATTAGTAATAAAATAACATTCACACCCTAACCATCCTAATTATGCCCCCATGATAACAACAGACCTATTACCAAATGCCACTGGCATTTAAAAAATGTGGGTTTAATTATAAGTAGGTCTCAGAGGAGAGATAGTGATCCGCTTAGTGTGTTGTGGATATAGAAATCAGTTTACCCTAACCCTAATTCTAAAATAAAACAAAATTAGCCAAAAATAATATAAATAAATAAGAGACAAAATTAGCCAATCAGAGCCGTCCCCTAGCGGATCACTATCTCTCCCTTGTGCAAATTTTTTTAATTATTATGTGTTGTTGCCATTGTGCACGTCAGAGTCCGACAGTAGCGCACATGCTTGTGAGTTTTTGCTGGCAGCAGTGGAGGGGGTGAGAGAGGATGCTACTCACCTCAGCCTGGACGGGAGACAGAGAGTGGCTGCGAGACACGGATCCGCTCCTGCTGTTGTCACTGCTGTCTGTAACCACGGAAACCTCGGCATGTTGCATCTGTGCCGCGGGAAAGCTCAGACTCACAACGCCTGAAACGACGCAGACAATCGTTAGCCAACACTCGTTAGCTCGAAGCTTCATAGTCGTTAGATGATGGGGGGCACACTGTTGTTCTTTACTCGGCCAGTGAGGGATTACTGGCAAGTTATCCCGTCTGACAGCTCTTCTAATATATATCTTCAAAAGCTTTTGTTTCTTGTATTATACTGTATCGTCATAATAGAAAAGGTCCAACATCTCTAACGAATCTTATGTCTGTTTAGTGAAGTGTTACAGTGTCATGGTTTTAGTCTTTTATCTCATGTAAAGGAAAACCACTAAATATGCCACGAGTATCATTTGAGTATTAAAGGATCATCGTACTTCTTAAATTGACTACGTCACGAAATTTCTATGGTTTATTTTGTAAAATCTTTGTTGCCATTTTTTTACATTAAAAGTAAGTACTAACGGGAAAAACTAAATGTATCGTCAAATTCTACGTAACCTGATAAGATTGTTTCTCAACTAGTTAAAAATCAAAAAACCTGGACGATTTGATATTATTATCCTGACATTAATTGCTTGCTATGGGCTATGTATGAGTCACGAGTGTATGTTTACATCGGACAATATAGTAAAATAGGAAGTATAATGCAGCAATTTAACCATAAAAAGTTAACAGAATTACTTACATTTTGTGAAAAAGTGGGAATATTTTTTTTTAGTTTTACTATTTACGGTGACGTAATCACTTTAATATAAATCAGAAATATATAAAAACTGTACACTGAAACACAGCAGTTTATGTTTTATGCCTGGTCCCTAAAATTAGTACACAGCATAAACAATGTGGAATTCGTGTATATATTCTATATAATATATATAATGTATATACAGAATACAATATATATTCTGTACACATATACATTATATAATATATACCATATATATTACCTGTACCAGAGAGTCCTTCCTCTAGCCTTGCTACAGCATCTACAGGACTGTCTGTGAGCTCCACCTGTCTCTCCTGCTTACCCTCCACACCTCGCCTGGGTGTCGCATCGTCATCGCCGCCACCAGATGGTGCTTCCGCAGGCACGTGACCCGGCGACGCGTACTCGACCGAGAGTTCGTCGAGTGCAGGACTGCCGCCGAACACATCCGCGTAGATGGCGCCACCGGGCGTGCTGGTGTCGGCGCCCTCTGCCGGCAGGTGGCTGGGATGTAAGAAGGCGGCGAGTCCGTCAGCTCCGGCGGTTCGCTGCTGCACTGCGATCTCACAGATGGCGCTGACCGACTCGGCGATGAGGCCCTCGATGAGCCGCTCTGCAATGCGGTCCGCAGTCGCCTCGACGCTAGAGGGCGCCACCGCGACGGCAGCCTCTGGTCGCACTACCGTCGACATCCTCACCGCCGGCGCCACCTTTAGCCGGTCGTCGGCGGCGATGGTGACCACGTGCACGACGTCGGGCGCCACGGCGACGGCGACGTCTCGCTGCTCGGCGATCGCCACGGCGACGGTCGCCGGAGGCAACGCGGCGGCACGCGCGACGTCTGGCGCCACCACGTCGGCCGAGACCGGTGGCGCCACCATCGCCCGCTCGACGTGTGCCGACACGACCGCGCGCGGAGTTACGGGTGATCGCGGCGTCGCAGGGGTCGTGGGGGTCGACTTCGTGAGCTGTTTGCCTCGCGCGACCGCGGCGACGGAGTCTCGGATTAGCGAGTCGATGAGATGGTTCGTGAGACGATCGACGAGCGTCTCGATCATAGTGGCGCCCTCTGTCTGCACTGCATGTGTTGTGAGGGCGAGGCCTTCCTCTTCTCTCCCGGTGACCACCTTACCGGGTAGACCCTCCCCGGTTCTACGCTTCACCTCCTCCCCTCTCCCTTCCTCCTCCTCCCGTACGCTTATCTCTAACGTGACCTTCATCGCCGCAGCTCTATCCTCCTCGCTTCCTCTATCCACCTCCCTCCCTTCCTCCTCTTCTCTCCGTCTCTCACCCTTTCTCCCTCTCTCTACAACTCTGCCTATCTCCACCTCTCTCCCTTTGTCTGCACCTCTCCCTGTCTCCTCCTCTCTGCCTGACTCCTCCTCCCTTCCTCTCTCCACATCTACCACTGAGAGCTCCTCCAGCCATGCCGTGGCTTCCTCTTCGCCGGGCTCCTCCCCGAACAGTGCGACGGAGGCAGCCGCGGCGCCGATGATGCGATCGAGCGACGTCTCGGACGCCGTCTCGATCGTCATCGACTGCTCGAGGACGATCGAGACGGAGCGCGGCGACGGAGACTTCGGCAGACTCGAGTCTTGCGTCTCGATCGAGTCGTCGGCCGCCTCGACCGAGTCCCTCGGCATCTCGGCAGAGGCGGGCGGGGTAGGCTCGAGCTGCGTCAGGTCGAGATGTAGCGCTGACGTCGCTGGCATACCAAGCTTCTCCCCTGCAACCTCCTCCCTCACCATCTTTATCCCCGGCACCTCCTCTCTCGTCACCTTGTTCCCCGGCACCTCCTCCCTCACCACTTCTTCTTCTGCTGCTGCCTCTTCGACTGAAAAGCTTGACTCTGCGGGCACCTCCTCCTCGATGGAGGAAGTCGTCGTCGTAGTGTGTTTGCTCTCCTCCTCGGGCGGGCTCGTGCTCTCAAAGCTCTCCTCCTCGTACCCGCCCTTCCCCGTCCTCTTCCCCGCCACACCCTCCTCCTCCGCGCGTACCTCCTCCTGCGTCGGCAGCGGCGGCGGGGCGGGCGCGGACTCGCGCGGGGTCACGGCAGGGGTGAGGCTCTTCACGGAGCGCTGCGTCTCCGTCGTCACCGTCGAGCTGTCGGACAAGTCCTCGCTGTAGGGGGCGCCGGCGTAGCTCGCGTCGCCGTCACGCGGCGACGCCTCAGGGGACGTTGCGTCGCTCTGTCGATCGGCGGCGGCGCCGCGCGACGATCGCTCGCTCCACTCCGGCTCGTCGGACGGCGACTGCCGCTCCGAGTCCTCGGTGGCGCCCTCTGTGATGAGCTCCTCATCGACCTCGATGCTGACGTCGAGGCTGACCTCTGACACGACAGCGAGGTCAGCGAGGCGCGGCGACACGGTCGGCGTGTCCTTTGGTGACCTCTCGGTGGACGACGCCGTGAGCGAGGAGCCCGAGTCGGTCGCCGTTGAGGGGGACGTTGGCGCCACCTGGTCGGCGACGCTCGGCTCTGATTGGCTGGGTGACAGCTGCTCCTGAATGGCTTCACCGGAAGCTGGAGTTGTGGTTTCCGCAGCTGACTGCGAGACGACTGCACAAGACAAACGGACACCGGAATCAATACCGGAATCAAATCCGGTATTTTTATTATATTATTAAGCAAGGACACTGGGGGTAGAAATATTCAAACGCACAGCAAACTGAAAATAAGCAATCAGACACTAGGATTTAAATATATAATATTGACAGTGGAATCAAAACACGGAAACTGACACCAGAATGAAAATATGGACTTGAATTAAAGCAGATTAAAAATATGCAAATGGATACCAGCTTAAAGATATGCACACATGTTGCAATTAAGAAATGCAAACAGAAACCAAGACCAAAACATTGAAGTACACTGGAATTAAATCACGACAGACACCGGAATCACAATGTGAACACAGGAACGGAATTAAAACATGAAGGCAGGCATGAAACCAAAATATGAAAACAGATGTCATTGCAGCAATGCAAGACTGCACTATTAATGTTATTGTGATTTTCACACCCCCTTTCCTATCTCCTCCCAGTCACATGGGATGAGCCTTCCCCATTGTCTCCTACCTTCTGTAGGTGGCGCCACTGATTCCTGTGTCAGTGGCAGCTGCAACGACGTGCGGCTAACTTCGTCAATGCTGCTCTCCGACCCGCTCTGACTCAAGTGTCGGGATGCGGACGAGTCACGCGATGCCGCGGCAACCGGCAGTCCCGCAGCCGACTCCTGGCCAGGAAGAATGTGCACAAAATTGTTAAAAATGAAGTGACTGTCACAACAGGTGAATCGATCTCTGTCTCACATCGTAAACGTGTGCCACGAAAGCGAATAGCTGGGTGGTGTGGAAAGCACCTGTGTGTTGTCGGCTACGTGAAAATTAAAATGACTCTATTATCTTTACATCGTAGATCAACGACATATCACTGTCTGCACATAGTAGCTTAGACCTTCTGTTTCCATGTACTTCTACACTTATGTGAGTTTTGCCAACAGTGTTTATAATGATATAATATTGCATGGCCTACACGCGTTTCTACTAATTTCTTAAAGGTTATATGTATTGTAAAAGTAATGGTGGTAGGCCTTATCTGGTGTATTGCAACCACTTGTAACGACACAGTTATACACATAGTGTGTATATAACAGAAGAAGGCCCTCTTATTTGTAACTAACTACGTCCATAAGCTTTAGGCAGTAAATATATAATGACGCTGGTCCTTATACATTATGTCGTGCATGTGACCACTCAAACCAGTTATGCGGTCTCACACGTAGTGCGTGCACAGGAATTCATGCGGTCGCCAGCGAAAGCCGGACACGCTCCTGCTATCACGACAGACTCGTGAGTCATCAGACCGTCTCACCTGAGGCACCTTCTTCTGGCGTCTCAGCTCGGCGACCTTGGGCGTCTTGATCTTGGGCTTCACCGACCCATCGTGACTTGATGCTGACAGCTCAGCTAGCTCCCTGTTCAGCTCCATGCGTGTCTGACAGATGTACGAGTCGTACGCCTGGCGGTCAACAAGCAAACGGTCAAACGCGCAGACGGTAAAGCGCCCACGGGCCATTCCAGCTTCAGCATAAAGGCTGGCCAGATTTGTTCCCACGACATGAGTAAAAACAAGCAAAGAGCCTTATTGCTCTAACTAACAACATAGATTTGGTGAATCCTTCATGTTCAATCCAACAATAGCGCAATGACCTAACGTTCTCAACATACATTGTATATGTATGTGTGTGTATATATATATATATATATTAACATTGTTTGGTTATTAGTTGATGTAAAGGGACGACTAGCTAACCTCTATCTGCTTGCGTAGGGAGTCCTCGCGAGCCTTCAGGTGCTCCCTGTGTCTCTTCTTCTGCTCCTTCTTCAGCCGGTCGGCCTCGATCTTGCGCGTCCTCAGCTGCTCAGCGAGCGCGTGGATGCGGCCCTCCACATCACTCTGATCCGACATCGACTCTAAATCAAGCACGACGTGCACATCAACGTTACAGCATCTGACTCACGTGTATACTACTACTACTATTATTATTATTATTGTAGTCGTCGTCGTCGTCGTCGTCGTCGTCGTCGTCGTCGTCGTCGTCGTCGTCATCATCATCAACATCATCATCATCATCATCATCGTCGTAGTTATTATTCAGTAGTAGTAGGTAAATATACATACATCACTATGTTATCGGTGTATCTCTAACCACCATCACCACTAAGAGCTCTATACCATTGCTGGCACTGTTACTATTGCTAATAATTATGCACCAACACATTCGGTAGCAGCACCACCACCACCACCAACAACCATTATGCCATTACTGTTGCTTTTCTGATCGCTTTCCTCACAGACCACCACCACCATTATGTCATCCCTCACCTGACAGTGGCAGGGAGAACGAATCGTCGGACCCGCTATCGCTGTCGCGATGTCGCGCCATCGCGTACTTGATTGCCTTCTTCGAAAACATCGAAGCGCCCGGCGCCGAGCGGCCGCGCTTAGACAGCGACGACAGCGGCGACGTCGGCTTAGACTGGCGCGGCGTCGTCGGCGTCGAGACAAACGAGTCGCTGTAGTCGGACACCGCCGGCTCCGCCCTTGTTGGTAGATGGGAGCTGAGGCTTGGTGAGTCGCTGACACCACGAGAAGGAGAGAGAGAGAGAGAGAGAGAGATGGAGACAGTGCAGAGACTTTCACATGGGAGCATTACACCCTCGATTGTATTTCGTTCTTGTCCTTATTATTATTATTATTATTTTTATTACTGTTATTATTATTTTGTGTGTCTGCTTTTTATCACACACGCATGTACGTACGTACATACATGTACGTACGTACATACACGCATACACGCGTGTGCACCCACGCACACACACGCATGCTCCCAACACAGCAAAACCACAGACACCACCGCAATAAATGCCTATGACTAGTATTCACAATACATTGCATATAAGTCACCTGTGGTAAAGGCCACCGCACACTAGAGCAATATAGCTCAGCAATCGGACTCGCTACTCTGCACTAGAGCGACCTCTCTCAATTCCAATATATAATCATGTCCCATGAACCACTGCTACCCGACTTATCAACTTATGGCAAGAACAATGGTAACAATAATGATGTTGATTGTTATGGCTGTGAATGTGTCGTGAGCAATTAGCCTCGATACCCCCGCACACTACAGCAATATTGCTAAGCTGCCGTAAAAATATCAAACATGTTTGATGTGTAGCAATTAGACTCTCGAGTTGGTTTGGCGCAGTAAAATGCCCCCGCACACTAGAGCAATATGCTCGTGAATCCAATTGCTGAGCTATATTGCTTTAGTGTGCAGTGGCCTTAAAGTGATTACGTCACGAATTTCTAGTAGTATATTTGTGTGTTATTTGTACAAAATAAAATGTATGAAAATACAATTAGTGTTTCTGTTTACTTTTCATGCTATATACCTTCTTTATATGCCCTAATTGCCGTGAAAAACAGAGAGACGCCAGTATCTGAACAGTACTGGGGAATAGTGTTAGACAACAGAAATTACCAAATCGTCTAGATTTTTGCAAATTTAACCAACGTAAAAACATTTTTATCAGGTGAGAGTTTGAAGATATATTTAGTAACGTTAGTTCTTACTTTTAATGTAAAAAAATAGCAATTTTTTTTACAAATTTTACATGGAAATTCGTGACGTAGTCAATTTAAGCGACAGAAATACTTCTGTATGCAATGGTATTGTGAATACTAGTTTAGTGTAATACTAGTTTAGTGTTTCGTCTGCACTGTGTAACAGCTGCGGACGACTCACCTCCCCTTGCTCGCGTTGCCACTCCTCGCCGATCGAGGCGTCCGTAGTCGTCTGCACATCGGAGAGTTGTCGTGTGATCGCTCGCGGCGTCACCGACTCGTCACCGGCTGTCACGATCTGACTGTCACTACCAACGCAAACAGAAGACAGTTAGACATCCGTAATGTCATCTAAGCAGAATACATGTACGTAGACAAAATGACAGTTACACATCAATATCAAACACTTATTGCAACACACTTAATTCTTTTTTGAACATAATATATATATATATATATATATATAATAACATATAATATCATAACAATAAATAATGGTTTACTGGGTATTTATTAGCGTAACTGGCCAATCGCATGTGTATTTAATCTGTTGAAGTATGTGCTCACCCTTTACGTGTACAAAAACGTAAACACATACGCTACCTACGTGTGCAATCAATATAAAAAAATTAACAAATATGATAAAAACACGAAAACATCACACCCACACGCAACCTACCTGGATGCTAAGAGTGTCGACTACAAGTAAATAATATGTCCACAGACGTCCCTGCTGTGCAT